GTGAAAAAATAGATGGCGAGATGTATCAGTGCGACATCACTGTAACATACTCCCATATTGGACAAAAAAATGTGTCCTATCAACATTTTTTCCCAGGGAGGACTAACAACGATAACTATCATAACAAGAAATGAAACAACAACATAATCATATATATGTTTTTTAGATGTAGGATAACAACGAAAAACAAAACAAAACAAGAACAAAATAAATGAAAAAATTTTTTTTTTTAGAGAAAAGTATAACGATAAATGCAACGAATAACATCAACAAAAGACAATAATATAAATAAATAATGTTTTTTATTTATTTATTTATATATATATATGTTTTTTTTTTTTTTTAGTTTCTTCATCTGTTCAAGTGCACCAGCGACCACAAGTGTTGTACATATGTATTTATTTATTTATTTATTATTTATTCGTTGATGCACGACGATGACAATGATAATCTCGACGACGACGATGCTCCATATGATAAACTTGTTGTTGTTTTTTATATTGTATATGTTCATAATGTTTTCGGGTAAATAAATTTTGAATTTCACTTTCATACGTTTCTTTTTTTGATATATCCTTTATCCCAATATGTAATGTACGTTGATGAGTCATAGGTGATGTTGAGAAGTTAACAACTGTACATGGAATTCGATGTTGTCGAAGAATACGTTTGATATTTCGAATACTAAATCGTTTATCGATGTTTCGACGTTGAATTTCATTTCGATAATATCGTATACGTTGTTTACGAGTGCATGTACGATTATGTATTTTACGTCTTTCTTCTTCTGTTAATTGTTGAGTACGTCGTTGAGATTTAATACTAGGTTCAATAGATGATGGTTGTTGAAGTTGTTGTTCATTATTATCATCTGACATTTGTTCATCATAATGTGTTGATGATTCCATAGGTTCATTATCATGAGGTGATGATAATTGAGATTCATAATGTGTTGTTCGTGTTGTTGTTGTTGATGAAGTTATTTTAACTTGTTGTTCGTCAATTAATTCTTGTTCATTTTGTTCATTGGTAGTAAATAATATTAATTCTAAATTATTATTTGTTGTTGGTTCAATTGTTAATGATTGTGATG